GTAATCTGCCCACTGCTTAAAGACACTCAGCCAAGTCACAGCCACACCATTACCCAGGGCTGTGGTTTCCTGAGCACGAGGAGCTGAGTGCAGCCGAAGGCAGCGTTCCCTGCACACCCAGGTGTTCATTCCCGCTGGCAGCTGCGATTCAGGCTGAGGTGGGACACACACCACAGCACTTGTGGCTGGAAGCCAGGTCTTCTTCAGCTGCCAGCCAGTGCCCCAGGCAGTGCTCAGGGCCATGGGCGCTGCTCTTTCCTCTGTACCTCTTCAGGGTGCAGGAAGAAAGGGACACATTCTCCCCATGTAGCTCCAGGACAATGTTAAAAATGACTGCCATGGAAAAAAAATTGTATTTTTGCCCTCTTTCTCCTTCCCTAAGAATAGCTAGCTTTTAGGCCTGTTTAAAATCAAAACAAGTAATACCCAGTTGAGGAAGAAACTTAGCTGTGTTGTGGCCAAGTCAACTTCCGGATGCCCTTGGTCAACTTCCAGTTTGCTGAGCATCACCTGCCTTTTCACTGGTACCTTCCCAGGTGCTGGAAGGCAACAAGCAGGCACCTCAACAAGAACCTTGCAGGAACCTCTTTTTGACTGCCAGGACATGGTTTTGGCATCCAGGCTTTTGGGAAAGGGGCTGGAGATGAGCAGGTAGGCTCTGGCAAATGTCTCCAGGTAGGTGTCACAGGATGTCTGGAATCTGGCATTTGATATGGGAGGAGGATTGGGAACCTGAGTTAAGGAGACTGTTCAGTGGGGACATGCCAGCTCCAGGCACCAAACTCACACTGTGACCATCACACTGCTCTCTCTTCAGCCAGGGGATGATGTGCACACCGTGAGGGTTGCAGAAGGCACTGGCGGAACAGAATCTGTGTCACACCCTTACTGCCATGCACCCCTCCATCTCTGCAGCTAATGCAGCTCAGTTTGAGAGAATCTGCATTCTCAGATTGGGAATCACAGCCTGAGCCATGTCCTCCCTCCTTCTCAGCCTTTGTCCTCCCAACCTTCAGTATGTGCTTCCTTCTTGCATTGTGGGGCAGTGAGGAGAAGAGACCCAGAGATGATGAGAGGTGGGAGAGAAAAGACTTTTTCTGACAGCTTAACTCCTTTTCCGTCTGGTGTTGGTTCCTTTCTTGAAAGCATCCTTTGAGAACACATAACCCCTTCCAAAAGGTGCAAGAGGCTGAGACCTACACTGATATTTATCTGTATTGTTCTATAGTGTGTGTAAGTGATGAAAACAGCTACTGACAGCCTAGAAGGTTGGGTAGAAATAGATTGCCTGGAACTACAGGTTCACATCCCAGCAGTAAAATTTCCAGTTCTTGAGATGCAGCTAAACGCATAGCAGGAGCTTTCTGGGTGTTCAGAGATTGACATTAATTTTAAGCAATGCAAAAGTATCTCTTCCGGGACACAATCTTACTGCCCCCAGTGCAGCACACGCAGTTCTTGCTGTCTTCCATCCCAGCCATGGCCGTGTGTCTGATTCTGGCCATGTGCACAGCAGTTTGTGGAGCATGCCAAGACTCTCCAGCACTCAAGGCATTACAGAAATGTAAGACAGGATCTGAGCTATGACAAGCAGAGTGCACGGCATCATATTCCACTGTGCAGCGGGGGATATAGGGATGCAAAATATGTTCTTGAGCTGAATAAGCTATTTTGACAAAATAAGGACTGAGGTGTACTTTTGTGTCCAAATTTAAACCAAAATTGGATCATAATGTTTCTCACATTGGTCTGTCACAGTCAGCTTATGAAATTACCCCACCTCCATAGCCACCAGTTATTTTCTAGTGTAGGAGTTTAATTTATCATTATAATCACTGTAAAACACCCAAAAATTAGGGCAAAGCAAACAGGAAATCTTGTAGCACGGTAAATAATTTCAGTACTCAGGGCATTGTACAACCTCCGACCTCAGCGATTGCTTTTCATTTCTCTTTTGACCTCATGGGACTTTTTGTTAATTGGACTTGCTCTGTGAGAAAGCATTTCAGATGCGAACATTTTTTGAGGTCTTCTTGCTGCTTCATGATTTGTGGTTAGCTTGGTGCTGGAGAAACCCAGCAAAAATCTCTCTGGTTAGCTCGGTGTAATCTAATCTAGCCCAGCTGCAGCCCCTGAGCAAGGAATTGCAACACCTAAAGATTTTCCAGGCCAAGCAGCACCTCATCACATTCAGTCACCACTTCCACCTGGAGCAAAGGGAAGGGGGCAGTCCCAGAAAGAGAGGGATGATGTGTTTGGGTTTAGAGTGCAGCCATGGGGGAGAGACCCCAAATGCAAAGCRGGGACAGCCACTCTCTCTGCTCTTAAGCAGGAGTTGCAGTAGCATTAAACAGAGAGCCTGAACCCTCCATCCCTTGCTGGTTACAGTCTGTGGAGCCTCGTGCCTGCAGGGGCTGCTCAGCAGAATCTGCAATCTCTGTTTCTCCCTGCCGAGGGAAGGGCTGGAATGCAGTGCTGGCCATGTGGAAGGGCTTGTGGAGGGTGATGGCTTTCCTGAGCTCTGTAGGGTGTGTGCAGCTCCTGAAAACCACGCAGCCCCTCAGCTTGCAGAGGTCCCATCAGACTCACCCGCAGAGGTGGCACTGGCTGTGCAGAGGGGACAGCTGGCTGCATGTGTAGCAGTAACCCAAGAGCTCACAGCACTTCTCAGGCAGAATTTGCTGAGCTCTGTTATGTGGCTGCATGGCTCTAGACAGCTCAAAGCTGCTTTGGCCACCCGTGCATCAGCTGTGCTCAGTGCCTGGAGTTGCTTGGGGATGTTTGATTGTCAAAACACTTTGGTGTCAAGGGCCTCTCCACACCCTCTGTGATGAGATCCCTGGCTAATAGACTGAGTGGGACTGTTTGGGAGCCCATTCCAGTTCTATTTAGACCTGCACAGAGAGAGGGTAAGAGACCACAGTGTCAAAATGACACCTTGATGTGACACTAGGTGATGTGACACCACCTGCTGGGGTAGGTGAGGTGCTGGGCATGCAAACTGTGAAGTAAAGGACAAGTATCTGAGCTCCTTCATCTGCTGTGGCAAAGGACTGAACTGAAGGAGCAGAGCCCAGACCTTCCTATCTCACCAGAGCCCAGTGCTCTTGAAGATGATCAGAAAGGCTGTTTCTTGTTTTGGGGAATTTATTCCCCTCTGTATTAGTTCTTTAGGATCTTTGGTTTGGGCTTGCCCAGAAGCTTGGCCATGGGTTTTAGCCCCTGGTGCTAGCCCATGGCTCAGTGAGCCAAGCTCAGCTGCTGCTGTGTTGGGGCTGGGAGCTGTTTAGCTCCTCATGTGCACCCCAGAGGAGGAACTTGCGGTGGAGCAAAATCTGCTTCCGCACCCAATTCCTGGGATAGGATGGGCTGCGCTGTGCTCAGGGTGCAGCCCACCCGAGCAACAAGTGGCAAAAGCTGGCATGTCTCGGGCCCTGTGCCCTGTCCTCTCCAGTGTCTGGTGCTGTGAGGGGGCACAGGCAGCAGCTGCTGACATTCCAGAGTGCCCAGCTCCATAACTAACCTGGCAATCTCCCTGCCAGTCCCCACTCCTGCTCGTTGGGTTATCACAGCCATCAGCAGCCCCAACGACTGGCAGCAGCAGCCAGGGTGACTCACCTGGCCTGGCCCTCTTTGCACTAAATCTTCCTATCAAGATGATAATCTGCCGGTAATTTTTGCTCCAGCTGAGAGCTGTAGACCTGCTCTCACGCATCCTGCTCTCCCTGTAGGCAGAAAGCTTCCCCCCAAATTACCCCACCCTCGCTCAGTGTACCCACAGCCTCTGGCCACTCTCCAGCACATTGTCTGGTTTGGAAACCAAAACCCTCTGCCCCAGTACCTAATTTCAGGAATTAGGCTCTGGAGGCCAGTGAAGTGCTGTGGAGAGATTCAGGCCAAGTGCATTTTTGTGGAGGTTGCAGTGCTGAGGCCGTTCATCATTCAGTCATGGAGGCGATGCCCACGCTGCCCTGCTGGGCACAGTTAATGCAGAGCAGCTTGCCCCTGAAAACTCCCTCCTGGCCCATCGTGCCCAGGCAAGGACATGGAACATCATGGCACAAGGGGGAGAAGCCATGAGACCTGCAGCAGCCACAGAGCACAGAGCTCAAGCCGTGAAGGGTGGATGAGCATTTCTGCACTAGTTACAAGCACAGATCGTGACTGTGTGTCCTGCTGTCTTTGCTGTTCCTCCTGTCACCCATTAACCTCCCTTTTCTCTCTCCCCTCTGTCTCCTTTGTGATATATGATAAAGAGGATGCTTACTGCAGGGCTGGGCTGAGAACTGCCAGCTCATTTCATGCAGGGCTGAACAACTGCCTCTCCATCCTGCCTGGGCACAGCAGAGGTACTGAGAGAAACTTTCTGAAATCTGTCACTGATTTCCCTGGTCTGACTTTGGGGTTTGAGGTCTTTGTGATAAAAAGAGCCAGGCATACACATCTAGTTCCTACTGCGCAATCACTAGCACTGAAGAAAAAAAGAATAAGAAATTAAGTGGGTTTTTTGCTTCTCCATGTTGAACACCTGATTTACCAGTGTGGAGGGCGGACCCTTTATGTCCTTGGAAAGGGAATCTGAGTCATCTCCTCTGCTGCAAAGTGAACAGAGCTCAAGTTGTGCCACCAGCCCACACTTCCAGGGATGGTGTGAGCCCCTCTTTCTGCTGGAGGTAGGCAGAGATATCTCTGTGCCCAGAGGAGAGGCATTCCTGATCCACAGGGATATCAAAGCTACCAGCAAAGCTGAAAGGTTTGACTGATGTTGTAAGAGCATCTTGGGGCTGGTTAGAAGCTCCTCGGTGTATTCAAGCTGGGATTGTGAGGCCCCTTAATGATGTCTCTGTGTCACAGCTACAGTAACACAGCAAAGCAAATATCCCTCTCATTTGTGAATCCACAGACCAGGAGGAAAGAGAAAGATGATGTGAATGAAGTCTTCTTGCATGTACCCTTCCTGCGGGCCCCTTCGATCTAATTTACATTATTCTTTATTTCAGGGTGACCAGTGTCCAACCTTGCCATGGAGGTCAATGGAAGTTTATTTGTCAACTTCATGCACAGGATTTCAACGTGTCTATGATTAGTGATGAAATGAAATTCACAGCTTGGAGTCATTTATCCAGCATATCCAATCAAACACAAACATCCTTTGTGCTTGGAAATGAATGGGGGCTGGAGGCAGCTAGCCTTTGTGACAGATTAATGAGCTGAGAACGAGCTGCCACCTCCCACCCCCATCATCAAGCGACTTTGCAGTCGGAGGAGAGGGACGCTGAGCTAGAGGTGAAGGATATACTCTCTGATAAGTGTTGCAGTGGGAGGTGAGAAATCAGAGCTCCCAGCGGAGGAGGAGGAGGGAAAAAAAAGGCAAGCGCTGTCCTTTGTTAAGCAGGGTACAGTGCAGCCAGAGCAGCTGCCTGACAGCTCATGGCATGAGGGTCAGGGCAGGAGCAGCCTGTGCTCACAGCACCTGTTATTGAATGCTACCCGCAGGTACCAGGGCAGCACGGAGCATCACTTTCTGACTTTTTCCAGTCATGTGGGAAGGTAAGGGGGCTGTGAGATGAAAGGAGATGATGAAACAGCTGATGAGGTCTGCCCTCGGTGAGATGCAGTAATACCAATGCAGGAGGGCTCATATCCCAGAGGCTTTTTGGGCTTAAAGATGAAAATAAAGTCTGAATTTGAGTTTCGGTGTCACCATTCAGTGATTTTTTTTTATTGGGAAATTCATGTTACTTACCCTTTCTTTCCTCTCCCCCTCATTATGCCAGTTCCAGAAGCGTGACAGAGGGTCCAGGCTGTGACAGTGACACACAGAGTGGCTGCACCATCAGCTGAACTGAGCCRTGGGGTCAGGGTGGGAGGGGATGAGCCTGTGGTTCAGCCAGGGCCAGTCAGTCACCTGCACTTCTCTGCCCCCATCTCAGTGTTCATTAACAGCCAAGTTAAATTCTAGCTCCCCGATTAGCAAAGAAAAGGCTGAAAGGGTGAAGGGTGTGTTGTGTGTAAAAGTGAAGAAGCCAGAAAGCAAAGCCAATCTTTAACTGATCATTTTGTGTATACCTTATTTATGATTGTGGGGATTTTTTAATAACTGGGACAATCCACACTTCAGAGAGACCTTGTAATATGAGGCTTTTATAAATGATGAGCTGGCACTGTAGGTTTTATAACCAAAGAAGATGACATTTCAGGGCAGAGCCCCTGGGTTGAGCTGGGTGCTTAGTGAGTGAAGGATTTTTGAATTTGGTGCCACTCGTGTGCCATGGGATAAAATACAAGAACACTGAACTGGTGAGCAGCTGACAGGAGAAGCTGCTACCAAAAGCAGAGCCAGGGCAGCCTGCTAGGTCTGCCCCCTGACAGCACTGCATTTTGGGCTCTCTTCTAAAACCTTTATCAGCATGTGCTGGGGGTCCACAACTGCATAAGGCAGGGGAGAAAGCTGTGCTGATCAGATGGCTCAGATGGAAAAAGGTGGTGCGAAGTTTCCCTCCCAAAGGCAGCAGGCAAATTAAACTGATTTCGTAATTTAAAGCAGCTTCTGGGCTGCTCTGAGTATACATATTCATGGTGCTACATCTGWAACTCCAAACCCACACAGTCTGAGTGATAAGAGGAGCTCCTGCCTCTTGCTGTGCTGCCTGCCAGATGTTGTGTCCTTTCACAGCAGCCCTGGGGTGCTGCTCATGAGAGGTGGCTCCACCCTGACTCCTGTAAGGTCTCTTCACATCCAGAGAGGGAGAAAGAGGCTCCCAAGGGACAGAACTTGGGGCCATCCTGTGCAGGGACAGGAACTGGACTTTCATGATCTTCCTGAGTCCACATCAGGATATTCAATGATTCTGTGAAGCTGCAGTACAAGCTGCTGAATGGATTTTGTGGGAGCCAGGCATCTCTCCTGCTCCCTTGAACCAGTTTCTGGAAGCACAGCCCTGTGAGATGAAAAGAGCCTCATCACTGGAACCCAACCCTTGCACATAGGCATGGGAGCAGTGCTGGCTCTCTTAAAACACTGCTCCATCAGCTCTTCCGCAAGGAAATGTGAGAGATTTMTTTTTAAGCCACATCTAATTGAAAAAAAAAATACAAAAAGGAAGTGGTTACTGTATATTTCACTGTGCACTAATGAACTGTGAAGGATGTAGTCAAAATTTTTCAGATTTTCAAAAGCAGTCCTGCAAAAAGCAGAGGAATTTCACAGAAATCTCTTTGATTTCTAGATTGTTTCCAATATCCTAAACCAGAATCTCCTTGAGCTGAGGATCTTCTCACCATGCCTGTACCCCACACTGCCTTCTAACCGCTGACAGTGGGCAAAAATATTCACATTTCAGTCCAGTGCCTTTATATGCATCTCACACTGGAGGGTTTTTTCCATTCCCCTGGGGTTGGGCAGGCCATGATTATCACTCTTAATAGAGTTAATTAAGAGCCTCGAGGCCCTGACGTTTTGTTTTCTTTGGGACCAGACCTATGGCTTGGGCCTCTGAGCTACCTGCTCTGCCCCATCCCTTTCCCTGGAAAAACAGCCAGGCAAAATCTGGCAATCTTCAGGAGCTGCGTGCACCCTCTGTTCCAGCTGGTGCTGCAGGATCAGATGTACATGTCTGCTCTCTGTTGGCTAAGGTGAGCTCCCTGGAAAGGGACAATGTGTGCTGATCCTTAACTGCGAATTGGACAATAGCTCAAAGAAATAAAAATTACCCAAGGAAGTGAATCAGCAAGACAAGACACGTCCCCGAGAAATCCGTGGCCAGGATGGGTTTGATGCTGGCAAAGCAGCAGTTTGCTCAGAGAGCAGGTGAAGGTCAGCTGGGGGCTGTAGTCACTTAGCACTGGGGAGAACATCCCCCAAAGGGAGCTTCTCCCCTTGCCACAGCCTCAGCCAGCTCGATGGGAATCTCTGAGATCAGCTAAGGACTTCTTTAATAAATCCAGGAGCACAGGGTCACTCCCAAAAGTGGAATAAAATAATAAAGGGCTTTCATGTGGGAATCTGGCTGTCCTCTGGAGAGTTACAGAGATCAAAGCCTTAAAGCAGTSGCTAATTGCAGGTGAGGTTGCTCCTGTGAAACAATTAGCCCATGTGCACGTGTGAAAATGGACAGGGTGTGCTGCAAGCAAACTGAACTGTGTGCTGTGAAACTGCCTCAATTTTAGAGAACATTAACCTTTCTCTTGCTGGGTTAGGATCCTTCCAAGTGACCAGTTTGAGTCCACAATACCTTAGTACCCCACTGGCTCCTGCCCCCTTTCTCAGCTTGTAACTGAAATGTGAGTCCAAAGAGCACACACAGGACTTAAATGATGGGGAGAAATGAGGGCAAACAAGTGTGGTGTTCTGGAGAGAAGACCATGTCCTTTATCCTGTGAAAGTTGTTAGTGCARTAAAGAGGAAAATGGGGATTTGAAAGATAAAATTTGTGGGCCCTGAAGCCCTTGTCTCAAATCTTCACAGGGTTGTTCAGTGACTTGGAGCATGGGAGTAAACTGTGACTATAATTTGAAACTGTCAAGCATACAAAACTAGGGTGAGAACAGATACTTTTATATCAAACTGAAGGCCTCCAAGGAGGGCTCTGAGCTGGACAGTCAGAGTTTGTTTAGTTTTTTTACTGCTTCTGTGGAAACTATGATGAATGGTAGGAAAAAAATGTCCCTAAGAGTAGTGAGGAGGGGCTTCAAAGGGAGGGGGTTGAGCTGGTGACTGAACAAGAAAACAACCTTGGAAATTCATGTCTGAGAAATGAGAGTCTAGAAAGGATGAGCAGAGCTGAACCGGCCCAGCCCTTGGATCCAGGATAGCCAATGTTCAGGAGACAAGGCCGGGAGCAGGCTCTGTGGTGAACCCTGTCGGGTCAGAGGAACAAATCAAACGTGAYCAGTGAGGGGTAGAAACCAAGATCTGATTTTTTCACAAGGTATTGGCCTGATCTGGGTTATTGTGTTTCCACCTCAAGTAGAGCAGAAGCTGAAAAAGCCAAGGAGAAGGGACAGGAACCTGAAGGATGGGGAGTAGTTTGTGTCAAAGCAAAGTGAAAGGCTCTGCTTCTGAGGGGTCTCAAGACTGTACAGAGAATTGTGAAGRAGGGATGAAATGGCAAATGACAAGGAAAAGTGCACCTATTTTCCTTTTGCTTCTCTTTCATATGAGAGATATGCGCAGTGAAGAGGTTAACACCAAGCAGGTTTTCAGCAAGCTTGAAAATAACCAAAGGGAAATCTTCTGTTAACTTGTTGGGCAGTTGGTTGATTGTTTTTTTTTTGCTGGTATCAGTGAACTCTGCAGGCTGATAAACTGTGAAAAGGCTACGGACATGCAGCTGAGCCTRAAGGCTTGTAAGAGGGGCACCAGTCACACTGGGTTGTCATTTGAGTCCTTTGGTCAGAGACAGGAAGCAAAAACCSGTGTCCTTGTTCCCTCCTGTCCTTTTGGGGTTCTGCTACACATCCTTACAAAGTGTGAGGCAAGACACCTGTCCTCTGAGCTTTGGAACATGGCTGTGGCTGCCACTTAGCCCCTSTTTTCACACCAGGTATCTCCTCTCCTCCCTGCACCAATGGCCTAATTGCATGCRTGCTGTTGACACAGAGTGGAAAGAAGAAAAGTCTTTAGTTTAGCAATTAGCTGCTGCCATTGCAGGCCCTGCCACAAGATAATTGAGCGCCATTAAGTAATGCTTGGTTCTGAAATGTAGCAATTATCCCGGTAATTGCAAGGACGTTCCTTGAATTCTAACCCATTTTTATTGACGTGTTGAGTATTTCTGCTGCCATCTAAGCTGCTGGAGTGCCTGGTGTGAGACAGCAGGGAGAAGCAAGCAAAGAAGGAAGCGTGTTCTCTGGAAGATCCTGCCAAGAGTGAGAATTTGGTGGTGCTGTTCRTGTTGGGAGCACCTGATATTGAGCTGAGCAGGGAGACCTTGCCCTTTCCAAGACCAAAATAGAGCTGGGCTGGCAGAGCCTGGGCTAGTGTTGACCTTGCCAAGTCTCTGCCTCCCTTCGAAGGTGCCAGTCATCCTTGCACAGCTCCAAGCTCGCTCCTGCTCTTGGAGGTTTGTGAGGCAGGTCCTCTCCTGCGGCAGGAGCACTGATCCGAGCTCCAAGGGCTGGGCCATGGCCACTAGAGGGTAGCACAATTAAAAGCATTGGGAAAGCTCATTCCTTGGAGTGGATTCGACTGTGCTAGGGATGCAGAGCCGGGATGGTCAGAGCTCTGAGAGCCCCGAGGACACCCAGTGCCTCCAGGCTGCCCGCTGCATGGGGCAGTGCAGGAGCAAACCCATTGCAAGGAGAGGACTCGCCACGATGGATCAGGAAGCAGAGCTGCGCTCCTGGTGCTGCTCCTGCTCTTCCTGGCCACCATCCTCATTGCTCCCTCTTCACCRGGAYCYCAAAGCAACATTTTGGCTTGGCTCYACTGTTGGTTTAATKTATTTTCTTGSTCCGTGGCTCTGACCCCAAGCTCAGAGCTGGGATGCCACCATGCCAGCAGGACAATACCCAGGTCTTTCTATGTTTTCTGAGTTAACACAGCTATAAAAGATTTCTTGGGTTAAAAATATAGAGTACCTACTGTCTTCTCTTGGCCTTTGCTGGCATGGACAAAGTGCCATGCACACTAGCAGATGAGAATGT